TTAATTTATATGGCATACCTTACCAATGTTAGAGTTTTTTCCTTCTGCTTTCAAAAGGAAAGTTACATTTTTAAAAGTAACCATTTGGTCTTATAAGTTGCATTATATTGCAATTATAAGAAGAAAGATTATGGCTCATTTTTCTTCTCCTAAGATTGTTGAGAAGTAAGAAGGCAAATCATTTTTTAAAAAGCAATATCTGTGCCAATGTCTTTTTTTTTTTCAGTTATATTTTCTTCTACACCAGGTTTTAAAAAGGCTCCCAAAATACATTGTTAAAAGTCTGCCAGAATGGAATTACATATATGAAAATTTAAAGCTGTATCACCAGTAGATGCTGCTTTCATCACACAGTTTCTAAATTCTAGTGTGGACAGGTCAGAAAAATCATTAACTATAATTAAATGAAAAAAAAAGTGTATGAAAGACCACTGCTGTTGTTTGACTCAGCATCTCTTTCTCATTGCCTTTCTTCATTTCTACATTTGCCTTTGCTGTTTGGACTTAAGGGAGCTTAAGAAGTTAGATAAGCATTTTACCACATATCTCAGGAAGTCTTAGAAATTCTTCTGTCAGCAGTATTATTTGTATGTGTTTTAATATTCTGCAAGGTATAAGAATTAGTGCAATGATTTCTGATACGGTTTGGCTCTGTCCCCACCCAAATCTCATTTTGAATTCCCACATGTTGTGGGAGGGACCCAGTGGGAGGTAATTGAATCATTGGGGCAGGAATTTCTTGTGCTGTTCTCGTGATAGTAAGTAAGTCTCACGAGATCTGATGGTTATTATAAGGGGGAGTTTTCCTGCACAAGCTCTCTCTGTCTGCTGCCATCCCCGCAAGGTGTGGCTTGCTCCTGCTTGCCTTCCACCGTGATTGTGAGGCCTCCCCAGCCATGTGGAAATGTAAGTCCAATTGAACCACTTTCTTTTGTAAATTGCCCAGTCTCAGGTATGTCTTTATCAGCAGCATGAAAACAGACTAATACAATTTCTAATGTGTGTATTTTACTGACTTTGTGGATTAAAAAGTTATTTTCATGATACGTGAACTCTACTGAGCAAAAATTAAATCCATATCAAAAGAAATTTTTTTGTAATTTTTATAATTTCTGTTGCACCTCCATCTTATCCTACTTTATATTCATTCAAAATTTAAATAGCCTATTATTGTGTGTATATGTTATTCTTATGATTCTCATTTACATTTTAAATTCATTTTTTAATCCTTTTTGGATATCTATATAACCCAGTATTTGATGATATTTTAAGTCATTTCCCCAAATTTTGGGCATAGACAATAGGTTTACAGTATCAAATCAAAGTATTACCAAGCCACAGAGAATGATCATTTTAAATAGGTTTGTTGTCAAATTCCTTTTATGGAAATATTGTTACAGTTTTAGTGCCACAAAAATAATCTTTTTACTCCCCAAACTGAAACTTGTCATTTAAGAAGATTGTGATGGTTCAATATATTCTATAATAACTTGTCCATTAGAGTTTGGATATTATCTTAGTTTTCTTACATCAGAACAATAATATATTTTGGAAATAAAACAGTCATCTGAAATTTAAATGTATTTCTTACTCCATCTATTTTTGTTGTTTTTGCTAATTGCTGTATTTTTGCTAATTGCTGTTTTGCTCAATCGCTGTATTTTATTTAATTTATTTATTTTTTACTTTTTGTAGAGACAGATCCCATTATGTCGCCCAGGCTGGTCTGGGCTCAAGCGATCCTCTCACCTCGGCCTCCCAAAGTGCTGGGATTACAGGCATAAGCCACTGCGCCTGGCCTGAATCACAATAATAGACAAGAAATTATTTTTCATTGATTTCATTGATTTAAATAGTTTCTATTTTTTTCTTGAATCTAAAGTTTGCTATTATTCCACTATAAATAACGTTTATATTTGGAATATCTGATTTATTAGAAGATGAGAATCTCAAAGGGCACACACAGAGACCATGTATAAGGACTCTTGTAAACTTTAAATGCTTTCATTGACTAACTGAATATATTTTCTCCTTTCAGATTCTGGTTTTCACTTCATTTTGCTGAAATCAAGGAAATATCTCTTTCTAAATTTTATCTATTATGCCTGCTTATATACTGAGATAGTCAGACTCGAGTAGTGGTTACGTACATTTACACACAATAGCAAGGACATATACTTTGTACATTTGAGTATTTGTCTTCTCATTTATATCACACACGAGTGTAACTAATAGTTCCCTAACCAGTGATACTTGTCAATCAGTTATTACAGTAAATCAAGTGTTAGTTCTACCACATAAACCTTAGCTTCCGTTTCAATATCTATAAAATGAGGAATTTATGTCCAACACATTTTTGATTTTGTTTTAGCTGAAACTCCATTTTTGTGCGTCCACAGCTAAACTTGTTGATATTTAAAAGTCTCCACTAAAGGCTATTGATTCATGGAAATATATCTGTAGAACACACAATATTATTTAACCACCATTCTCTCAAGTATTTCTGTTCATAACAGGTTACAAGATACTCTGGTATTGAATCGACAAATTTTTATGAACTTTGTATTGCTTATTTTCATTTTAGATTAATATTTTCTTACCTTACACTTAGAAAATAAATAAACAATTTAGCTATTAATTAAGACGCTTTGGTCTCACATCCTCACTTGACCTTCACCAGATGTGGGACTATGGGCTTGCTACTTACCTCTCAGTAGCCACAACTATTAAATGGGAATAACACTAGCATTTCCTTTATTGGGATGTTTGAGGATTAAGTGATATAACACACTAAAAAATGTGCCTGGGACCTTTGCCTAAAGCCGTTGTTTTAGAGAATGTCGATATAACTATTTGTACAGATAACTGTGAAAGTAGGACACAATAAATATAGCTTTTCCACAGGAGATAAATGTGACAATATACAGTATAAGGACACTGAACTATATCCTAAAATTAGACAGCAGTGATTATTCCTTTGTAGTTATTAACGTTAGTTTGTTTTGTTATTTCTGCATTCTAGGTAGTCTATATATTATCACAGATTACAACAATATGCTAAAAAGAACCTTGGCAATCATAAAATCTAACTCCTTCATATATATGTGTATATATATATGTGTGTATATATATATACAGACACACACACGTATATAATGAAATCAGTGGGTCTAAACAAATTCCCTAAAAATCACAAAACATATTACGAACAGAGCTGAGTTTGGAACCCTGTATCAGAGAACTTTTGCCATGTAACTATCCACCCCCAAACATAGTCGCTTAAAATAATAATAATTTGCTTAGCTCACAATCCTGTGGATTGGTAATTTGAGATGAAGTCAGCTTGGTGGATTTTCTGCTGGTCTTTGCTCATGTGTCACAATCATTTGGTGAGTTGACTAGCATTTGAATTATATAGGATGATGCCATTCATATGTCCAGGTTAGCAGGCTCTTGGCTAGGGCTGTAGGGGTTTCTGGGCCATGTGTCTCTCATCATCTGGCAGGCTGGTCTGACCTTATTTATATGCTGACAATGGCAGGGGTCCCAAGAGCAGGAAGGGTGGAAGCTGAGCCTCTTGCAGCTTAGGCTTGAACTTGTATAGCTTCAATTCCATTGCATCCTACTCATCAAAGCCAGTCATGAAGCCCGCAAGATTCAAGGGGTAGAGAAATAGACTATCTCTTGACGCGAAGAACAGCAAAACTTCTGTGGCTATTTTCTCCCCCTCTTCCCCAGTCTCACAACACCCATCAGCTAATTTTGAGGCTATGGCTCTCTCAATACAGAATACCTAGATAAGCAATTAGATATGATAGCTTACCTTTCCACTTAGCAGCAATTCATTTTTGTCTAGGAAATGTCAGAGTCTTTATTGAAGATGTGATACTTGAAGTAGAGCTTGAAGAATGGGTTTTCCAGACAGAAGATTAAAAAATTGAATTCAGATATAAGAAAAAATATGTGGAAAATCACAGAGTTTTAGAGAGAATGACAGGCTTTGGTACAGTGAGAAACCAACATGACTTGTGGATTACATCACGGTGGGGAAATATGGGGGACCAAGAGGCTGGAGGAGTCTTCTAATATCCAGAGTTTTTCTATACAAAGTGGTGTGGCAAGAGGAGACTGAGTTACCCATTTTCATTTGAGAATATGTATTTAGTTTACAAGAGACAATAAGGTAGCATTTCCATTAGGAAAAGGCATTTTTCTCCCCAGAAAGGGAAATCTGAACAAATTACAAGTTCTATGAATTAGAAAATACTGGTGTGTAGCAGAGACTCTATGGAGGTTCGGGCTACAGGAATTTCATCATCCCAAGGGCATAATAGAAGCATGAGCTGGAACCTGGGAAACAAGAAAGAGCCCAGTAGTCTGCACAGGTCAAGTCATCAAAGAGTCAGAGATATAGGTGACTGTCTGGGAGTTCAGGAAATATGACATAAATCAGTCAGCTGGCCAGATGGTTCTATTCCAGCACTTCCTATCTCAGACAGAGCAAAGGAAGTGAGGCATCATGAAGACTGCAGGTGGCAGAAATCAATGTGATTGATGAAAGCAGACAGAGGAAAAGGCAACGTTAAAGTGTTGACAAAATTCTTTATCAATCCAGCACATTAGTTACTACCATAACTCAAAAGGAAATCAACTTTGGGCTACATTTGCAACTCTATAAAAAATGTATGAGCTAAATGCCATAAATTAATGACATCAAGTAAGACTACTTTTATCTTTTATTTCTTAAAGATGATAAAACAGCTTAAGTGACCTGGAATGCCACAGCTGAAAGTGTTATTTTGTATCTTTCTGCTTGAATGAATGGAAGCATTATCAGCTTTCATTTGTTCATATCCACCTAACACCGTCTTCTATTTTCCTGATTCAAAGTATGTTTAAATTAATCAGTATTCTATGAATTACAGCATATATGCTGACCCTTGTTTTTGGTTGAAAACCTATTTAAAAAGGGATTTAGTAATTTACTTTCTTTGTTTCAGAGGACCTTATCATGTCCTTCACCGTATCCATGGCAATCGGGCTGGTACTTGGAGGATTTATTTGGGCTGTGTTCATTTGTCTGTCTCGAAGAAGAAGAGCCAGTGCTCCCATTTCACAGTGGAGTTCAAGCAGGAGATCTAGGTCTTCTTACTCCCATGGCCTCAACAGAACTGGATTTTACCGCCACAGTGGTTGTGAACGTCGCAGCAACCTCAGCCTGGCCAGTCTCACTTTCCAGCGACAAGCTTCCCTGGAACAAGCAAATTCCTTTCCAAGAAAATCAAGTTTCAGAGCTTCTACTTTCCATCCCTTTCTGCAATGTCCACCACTTCCTGTGGAAACTGAGAGTCAGCTGGTGACTCTCCCTTCTTCCAGTATCTCTCCCACCATCAGCACTTCCCACAGTCTGAGCCGTCCTGATTACTGGTCCAGTAACAGTCTTCGAGTGGGCCTTTCAACACCGCCCCCACCTGCCTATGAGTCCATCATCAAGGCGTTCCCAGATTCCTGAGTAGGGTGCTTTTGGTTTTTGTTTCTTTCTTGTCTTGTCTTTTATTGAAAGGAAATCGTAAATAGGCTAAACAGAATTTTGAGGGCATGGCCCAAATAACTAACGAGTTCCAAGTTGAAGCATGGTTGTGCGAGTTGGACATTACAATGTAAAACGTATTTTCTTGGAGCACATGTTTTCCCTTTTGTTTCAAAAAATGTAATATTTTCTCCCAAGGGTTTTATATTTATGTATTTTGTATTCAATGTGAGGCTTATTAAAAACAGTGATTCTAATGTAAGAATCCACTGAGATGCATTATATATATTTTAATTAAAATTAAAACTTTAGATATTTGTGGATTACAATCCTCATTTACTTCCAATGTGACTAGAAAGAGAAAAAAAAATCAGTGTCACTTTAAAGAGAAATCTTCTAAGGAATTCGGATATTACTTTCTTTAGAATGAGAAGTGAATTATATTGACATTTTACAATCTTGGATTTCTTTTTTTTTTTTTTTTCTTTTGAGACGGGGTCTTGGTCTGTTGCTCAGGCTGGATTTGCTGTGGCATGATCAGGACTCACCGCAGCCTCTATCTCCCCGGCTCAAGTAATCCTCCCATCTTAGTGCCCAAGTAGCTGGGACTACAGGGGTGCACTACCATGCCCAGCTAAATTTGCTTGAATTTTAGTAAAAATGAAGTCTCACTATGTTGCCCAGGCTGGTGGCCAACTCCTAAACTCAAATGATTCTCCTGCCTCGGCCTCCCACATTGCTGGAATTATAGGCATGAGCCACCATGTCTGGCCAATCTTGGATTTTTAATGGAATATGTGGGCACGAAATGACAGAACATAGGACATTCTAAAGTTCCTTGATTTTACTCATTATGAAAAGTGTGGGACTCAAGCATAGGAAACTGAACTCTTTTGGTGTCGTTGGATGTTTCATTTTTGACACTAATTTTTTCTGGACAAATTTTTGTGTGTTTTTCCCAAGAATAGTTATCTAATTTCTTGAGGCAAAATCCTTGGATTTACTAACATGATGATTTACCTTTTCTTCACCGTTGTCATTACGTTGTTAGAAAAGCAACAGGAAAAAACCCAATTCATTTGGCCTAAAAACAATCCTCAAGTTTAAAACCAAGCTCACATTTTTCTTAAGGGAAAAATTTTATTTCTTAAACTTACATCTAGCAACTTGGAAAGCACTTTCTCTGGGGATCTTCTTTTGTAACTTTACAGACAAATAAGTATGAGTCACTGCGGAGAGAGTTTGTTATTGAAATAGATGTTACCCATGAAGAATTCTCCTTCCTGGATTGACTCTTAATCATCAGGCATCATCCCTTGTTTGCTTCTCTACGAATCTCAATTCCAACTTCTCTGCAGAGTCTTTGTACAGTGATTAAGCCATGCCAGATGGTCTTTGGTGCACACAGTTATTTAAGAACCCACTTCCACAGGTGGCTGCCCTTGTAAGGAAGGATGCATCCCTAAATGTGGGCACCAGAGAGCTCCAGTGGGCAGATGTCTGTGGCTGCCCTTCTCATTTAAGGACATGAGTTAACTGGAGTATTACTCAAAAAGCCTGTGGTTCATTTCCAGTATTGTGAATATTTAGTTTATGTGGCCATTTCTTTGTTTCTTTGAACACTGGGATTTTCAGTGAAAAAGTGCTCTCTTTTTCATTTCCTGTTGCAGTGGTCACAGCTAATAGTGTCTGAACATGGTTCAAGAATAAGAGATTCCATGTAGCATTTTCTTTATTATTTTCATTTCGCTTACATTACCCATCATTCCTCAAGGACAATTATTCTCAATAATGCTTATAGAAAATGTTCTCTAATTAAACATGCCAGAAAGAAAGAGTGAGGGAAAGAGGGAACAGGAAGAAAATGGAAGAAAGAAAAGAAAAAGGGAAAAAGACTAACAAGATAACCAATTTGTTATAAGTTGGTTTTCAACAAAGAAATTTAGCAGCCAAGTAAGATTTCAAGAGAATATTAACTTGGTATCAAGGCTACTTTTTTTTTTTTTTTTAAACTTACATGTCATCCTTAATGTCTAACATGAAAAATCAACAGAATATGATTTTTATCAAGAATTTATGTTGGGAGTAAAAACTGCTTTATATCTTCCAAATTAGGAAGAGAAGACCAGAAATCCTCTGGGGCATTTAACCATCTGGCAGAATTGTTGCTGCACCCTTATCCCAGTTATAAGACAGTCAAAATGACTATTTCCTAAATATTGTGAGTGTATGAAATGTGAAATTAAAGCAAAAACTGGAGACTTTTAATGTTGTATTTCTTTAATTTGAAATGTTTTGTGGATTATGAAATAAAAATAAATTGATGTCAAGTTTTATTCAAAATTCATTTATGAAATAAAGCCAACACTGTTCTAAAAAGCAAGGAGTCAAGAAATTATAAAATTCAGATTAAATCAGGAAAACACATTAGATGAAAAATTATACTGCAGAATTTGAGCTTATTAAAAGTTATTGAATAAGAAAAGTCTCCTTTTTACTTTAGTATTTAAACCTCATCTAGACTATTTGTAAATGAATGGACTGAGACACAAATCCTTTTTCATACACAAATGTATAATGGAGAAAGGTTAATGTCACAAATAAATTTTACAAGATTTTTAAAATTAACGCAGATGGAAGAATTAGTAAATTATTTATTTAAAACATGAACTTAGATTCTTATCTCATTAGCTAAATATATAATTACAGAATTATTTAATTAATGTTTTTAGAGAATAAGCATTTTAAATAATGGCTATCTTAAAAATAGAGGAAATTTGAAATAAATATTTAGCAAATCTATGAAATAGAAAAGGGGCACTTTTTAAGAGCCAAAGGGATGAAATAAATTACAAAGAAAAATATTAGCAGTTTTGATTATTTAAAAAATTTTAAAATTCTGTTCATTAAAAGATAAATGTATCCAAGTCTAAAAACAAGCAAGAACAGAAAAAAGAAGAAAGAAGTTAAGTTCATATAAATATGGCAAGAATGGCCAATAGCTTGAAGTTATGATTAGCACACATAAATAGATGTGGAAAATACTCAGCTGTAAATAGATAAATTAGTAATGAACCAAAATAAGCAATTCACCAAAGAGAAAAATTAATTGATTAACAAGTTTATACTGCATGTTACTACTAAGAAAGTGCCCATGTACATTTAAACAACACTCTAGTTGTTTCGTCTATCACATTAGCTTATTATTATTATTATTATTATTATTATTATTATTTGAATAGAGACGGTGTTTTGCCAAGTTGGCCAGGCTGGACTTAAACTCCTGGCTTCAAGAGATCCGCCCACCTCAGCTTCCCAAAGTGCTGAGATTACAGGTGTGAGCCACCGAGCCCGGCCCGTATTAACTAATTATTTATGAAATAATGAATCTCCTCACTGCTGGCAAATGTACTAAGAAGGGCACGCTCCCACATATTTCTGGTGGCAAGGTAAACTGGCATTGCCCTTTTGGAAGACAGTTGGATGAAATGTATCAGGAGTCTTGCACTGAACAGACCATGAAGTTTCCTGGCACGTGCCAGGTACACGGTTTTCTCTGAGAAAAGTGGCGATGAACTTGTATGGAGACCAAGCCTGCTATGCTGGCCCTGTGGGACTGGATCAGAGCATTCCGTATCAGATGTGAGTAACCGACAGAACTAGATCTGCCCTGCTTTGCGTGAGAGGGTGGGGATGAAGGGAGAGAATGGGAGAACTGCCACTGAGAAACCTCGAAGGGAAAGGAGAGACTAAAATAATAAAGACCTGGAGTAAAATGGCTGCAGTATCTTTTGAATAAACTTCCATTACTTAAGATTACTCAAATCTTTTTATGACGTTACAACTTGAAATAAATTCATCCCAATACCAATTCAAAGAATGAGTGATGGCCGGGCGCAGTGGCTCACACCTGTAATCCCAGCACTTCAGGAGGCTGAGGCAGGCAGATCACCTGAGGTCGGGAGTTTGAGAGCCGCCTGACCAACAGGGAGAAACCCTGTCTCTACTAAAAATACAAAATTAGCCAGGCGTGGTGGCGCATGCCTGTAATCCCAGCTACTCAGGAGGCTGAGGTAGGAGAATCGGTTGAACCTGGAAGTCAGAGTTTACAGGTTACAGTGAGCTGAGATTGTGCAATTTCTGGAAGGCAGAGGTTACAGGTTACAGTGAGCTGAGATTGTGCGATTAAATTCCAGCCTGGGCAAGAAGAGCAAAACTCCGTCTAAAAAAATAATAATAAAAAAAAATTAAAAAAAAAAATGGCTGATGAGAAATAGACCGTATAGTCTAGACACTGGGATAGTTCTACCCTCACCCAGGCAAGCGGGACCCATGTCTCATGGGGCCCCACACTTCAGAATACCTTCTTTGAAGTTTTCTAAATCACAGTTCAGTGTGTAGAACTGGCCAGGGCTGGCAATGCCATCTGGACAGGGCACATGAACCTAGACCAAGACCTGCGTGGATGCTAGTCCTTTTTTGTTTTTTTCTGTCCCTTTCAGGTGATCTTTGACCCTGTATCTAGCATGTCAGGTCAACCAGATGTCTCAGGAGCTCTGCAGGACTTTTATCTATGGGGTCTCCAGGGTTGAACCCCAGTTTCAGGAGGACAGCCTGGCAATCAGGTCACTGCTGCTGATGGGAGCGTATTTCTTTCACAGAATCACATGATAGTGGACAGCCAGAATGGTACTGACATGCTGATCTGGGGTGACTTTAACTCAGAATGAAGAATCTGTAGATAATAACTGTCTAAGTACTTCTTCTCAACTCACTTAAAATATTTATGGAGGCTGGGCACGGTGGCTCACTCCTGTAATCCCAGCACTTTGGGAGGGCAAGGCAGGTGGATCACGAGGTCAAGAGTTTGAGACCAGCCTGGCCAAGATGGTGAAACCCCGACTCTACTAAAATTAAAATTAGCCAGGTGTGGTGGTGGGAGCCTGTAATTCCAGCTACTCAGGAGGCTGAGGCAGGAGAATCGCTTGAACCTGGGAGACAGAGGTTGCAGTGAGCCAAGATCACACCACTGCACTCCAGCCTGGGCGACAGAGTGAGACTCCATCTCAAAAAAAAAAATTATGGAAAGATCACTATACCTCATTTGTGCCCGTGAATTTTGTAAAACATTTTTAACCAATTTTTAAAATACAAGATAAGGCCCTGTCCAGGGCCTCACACACTGTAGCTCTGTCCCTGTGCTGAGATGACATGGGGAGACACAAAGCGTGAGCCTAATCTGATTTGAAAAGCAAGTCATCCATGCTTTGTTGTGGTAAAATGCTGATCATCTCTCATCCTTGTTGTATAGACTTTGTGTCTGTAACCACAGAAGAGCTTAGAATATTGTAGCT